TGCACATATATGATTTTCATATATTTACAGTCATGTAATAATGCTGATGATGGACACGAATAGGTGTTTTTTATACAATTAATTTTAATAACAAATGATGGGCATCAAAATCCTCTACCTCACTGAAGCAAAAATTACAATTAGGCTACGTAACGTTTTAAAAGTGGAAATTGGGGAGATCAGGGTGATAGCACCGTTATTCATTGAATTTTTGTTTTGCTCTCCAACTTACGTTTTAAATCACAATCCGATGTAATTCTAACAGGAAGTCTATGGCTCATTATTGGCATAATCAGTCAGATATTATCTTTTTTTACCGTTCATGTTAAGGTGCATAAATGTTAAAATTGAAATTACACTGCCTAACCTGTTCCTGGCAAATCCATCAACAAATGAAAGATGACTGTGGAAGAGATTAAGCAAATAAATTGATTGTTATCTCAAGAATAACATTTGAAACAATGAAAAAGTTTATTAGATTTCGAGTTAGATGGTGCTAATGCATTTTATTTGCTACACGCCCTTTGATATCTACCCACGAATTTATTACCTTAGTAGGGAGCAGACAGAGAAATTTTGATAAATGCCGCATCTCCGCAATTTACCAACCAGCTGAACAAAAATTGTTAAATGTGGAAAATATTTTTAAGGATACGGTAGACCTTCGCGAATGTATTTCGGAAAATTCTTTAAACGGGTTATTCGGAGTGCAACCAAATTATAAAACAATGAAAAGGATGTAAAATGCGCTATCCAGAATAAAAATAGTGTTTCGTTTTAGTTTGCAGCAATTCAAAACGGACGACGGCTGTTTCTTTAAGCGAAGGAATCGGGTTTCAAATCTGACCGCTCAAATAACACTTCTGCACAATTTGAATCTTGAGTGATTGGTCTCCAAAATTTTGTGAGGAAATTTCCATATTCTTGGGTGTTACTAAACTATGGATCAGCAGACCGTCGAACCTCCGGAACCCATGTATATATATAAATTTCTTTTTTTTTTATTTTGTATATGAAGAGCAATGAGATAAGTATAAAGTTTGCTCTCGGGTACAAAGAAGAGAAATATGTTTAAATTGTCCATGACGTCCGATTTGGCGAGCAGTTAGCAGTCATTTACCCTGAGTGTTAATAATTAAAAAATAATTTGAAAGCTTAAACGGTTTGGGTTCCGCAATATATGAATAACGCCTCATCCGAAGGCTCTCAGCGAACCTTTAGGCTGGAATTTATTGCACATGACCCTGGAATGAGGAACACGAGGCATAAAGTAACATCATCGCCCGTAATGCTCGTAGAATTTCAGGGTAATCCATTAAACACGACTGGATAGAGGACTTTATTAAAAGCCCAATTTTTTTACTTGAGCATAAATCAAAAAAGAAAAAAAAGGAGTTCATTGCTGAATTTTAATACATAAAAAATATTATATTTTTAAGGGTTATTTCAATTATGTTTCTGTGAGTGCACTTCATATTAACCCCTCAGCTTATTCTGAAAATCAATTATCAAAATTCAAGAAGAGGTATGGTGTTTTAACGTACGATGATTAAGGAAAAAGTACACCAATTCAACCATTTTTTCCAACCCCCCGGTCGAATATCAAACTTGAAATCAGTCTAATCTAGTTCCAATTTAAGTGGACCCTGTTGATTAAGTTCGATCGTTTGTCTAAGCACGTCGAATGTACAACAACCATCTGAAGCATAAAAAGAGGAGACGTCTTTCCCTTTTGACATCTTGTCATAGTGACCTAAGACGACAGCAATTAAGCTATTGTGTTCCTGCATCCTTAATATGGCTGCCAAAGCTGTTTTGTGGACCACCATGACGCAAAAAACATGACCACCGCGTGAATGTCTCGCTTGTGCTATTTGCTTTATGATTACTTTGCTCTGTATAAATTGCTTCAGGAATCCAATTTATAAGAGATCCTTCTTCAGTTATAAACTAAGAGTTTAATGCGGACATCTTTAGAGTCTGGTATGTTTTGTTTTAATTAAGAGTGCCAAATAACCACCACCTGACAATTTTTTTCACGGATTGGTTTGGCTGACTTTCACAGGACGTCCCGAAATCGATATAATTTTTTCGCAAATGGAAAGTCAAGATATTACTGAGGTAGTTCTAACATAGCGCACAACTTTTAAAAAAAAACTGCACACTTTGTTGGACTCAGTTGTACTCATCTCGCAATTCATCAAGCGCACGATACTAATATAGGTTGCTGTCAATAGCTGTCTTTGCACTTATACGAATGTGTCATTCCGGGTTATTAATTTTTTTAAAAATTATTTGGAATTGTATGGAAAGTGAAAAATATTGAGAAACCTATAATAATGATAATGTCGATGATACAAAGATCCCCAAGTTTTGCTTTAATGATGGACCGATAGGTTAGAAAGGACATGTGTAGAGTTCGGTTTGTTTCGTAATTAGAGCTCCGTAGGAGTAAAAATCGAAATAACTATTTAAAAAATGGAAAGTTAATTTCGACGGTGTCATAGCTACCTAAGAAAAAACAGGAATAACTAGTGTCGTACTTACCCAGCATAAAGCATGTTAAAAGGGTTTTGGAAATTTTGACGGATTCATTGCCATTTATCATCCACTTCATCGTAACCAAGATAATCAAAGGTTGCCGTCGAGAGTTATCGTTACGCTTATAGTTGATTCACCTCGCTTTAGAGTTGCGGATTTGAGGCATCCTCGTAAAACCCCTTCGTACGATTTAGAGTTTAATGCAAATCATGATCTCTGATCACATGGTCATGGCGTTTGCCTCCATTTTTGTTCTTTCTGTCATAGACGGACCAATGGGCAAAAAGCAGCTTCCACCAGATGTAGAGCATTGTTTCTATTAATACAATCGAAAAAATCCACCACATTATAAAACACTTTTTGTAGTTGAAGTTTTGTAAAGAAGCAGCTCAAAAGTAATTGATGTTAAGAATGGTAGTTTCTTTATGAGCTCTGCTATATGAAAGTTGTCTTAAACAAACTTCTGTTTTATCAACGGGCAGCTAAAGCTAGTATGCCATCTGTTCGTATGCATAAATGGAAATGATTCCTTTTTATTCATCTCGCCTATGACATGCTGCACGTTTCATTTGATGGGTCTAATTACTTCGTATGCCTTCAACAGTGATGGACTAACTCGCTCGTGTGTTAATTAAGGTGTATTATTATTTTTATACCACGGCAAACTCCGATTCAAAGGATTTCTTCTCGGTTATCTCAGATCATAAGTTCGATGTGAGTTTACATAAAGTTAATCGTTATTTTATCAGAAAACCAACGGAGGTTAACGGCCATAGTTTAATGTTCAGCCTCCAAAACAACTCTCCCCTGCAAAAGCGTCATGCAGACCATCACTTTTGTGTTCAAATGTTTGAATTCCAACATTTTACAAGGAGCGGTGAGGTCAAATGCTCTTTGTGCGAGACGTTCCTGGGTCAGAGTGATGTGCTCTGTGGGCGAGATATTATACTCTACTACTAATCTCTATGCGCTCAAGGAATAATTGATTATTTATTCTGGAATATTCCCTAGTCCTAGTTGCGATGTATTTAGTCAATCGAAGCTTGAAGCGCTTTGACCTATTGCATTTGAGCGATGTAGATAGAAATATACTTGCATATTCCAGGATAATTTTTTTTTTACTTCTTCCGCCTAAATCGTACGCTTCGTCATCCATGTATATTTATAAATGGGTATGACGTAACCCAGACTGTTGTAAATAATCGACTCCTTCTCTGGCTTGTTGAAATTCCTATTCAACACTTCGTCTCCGCTTCTCACTTTAAATTGTATACTCTGTGTAAAAGTTCTTTAATCGCTGTTGAATGATGTGTACCGAATAGTTTATAATCTCTTGGTTTATGCCATTTCCGGCTAACATTGGCCCAGTTGAATTCCCTATTAATCGATGTATTTTCGATTCAAACCGATACTCCTTATCTTAGGAATAGCGAATAACAAATGGGTAAATGTAACTGATCCACAAAAGATCCAGTCATAAGGGGTTTTTCTGTTCTTTCTAAATTAGTTGTTTATTTACTCAAACATTTACGTATTCATCTACTTATTCATTAAGCAACAACTTTGAATGTCAGCGTCATGTGCTGAGACTATTATTATTATTTAACCGACAGAAAGAACATCATTTATCAACAAACCCAACTAATTTATTAAACAACTTGTAATATTCTTACCAAGGAGCGACTCTTAAAGGAAGTAGAATAATTATCCTTAAATAAACTGATTGAAGCCCACCACAAACTATTTCTTAGCTCAACACTGACACAATCTCACAGTTGTCTCTAAAGTGCCTCCAAATTAACAATCTTCCACAGTAGCTCTCTCTCGGTATAGCTTTCTGAAAAGTCAGTCACTCCCGACAACAACAAGCACTACTGCTACACGACTGTCAGGCCTTATGTACAAAGCACTCTCAAAAATTCCGGAAGCTTACAACACAACTATATTGGTAGTGCATTTACATCATAACTACGTTACCTAATAAAATGCTCCAGAAAGTTCCTTGGTTTTTCATTTCTGCATGACTGGGCTTCAGTTATTATTATCCATAGTAAAAAGTAATGACAGTGTTGGGTGAGACGTTTGTAAACTTAATAAGTGAAACGTCGAATATGAAATAATCATGCAGTAAGCGCAGAAAGTTAGCGCGCAAGAATCAAAAGATAAATACATTTAATTAAAGCTGCGTGCGAGAGTGGTTTTTAAAGAAAGAAGGGTCGTAATTTCCTGGCAAAAATTCCCGCCTCGTCTGTAGCAGACTGTGGTCTTAGTCGAAGGACAGTCATCAAGGTACTGAGCCATTAGAAATTTAAATTTATAGATTGGTTTATTTCGATGAATCTTGCCTGCAAATATACCATCGCCTAGAAAATAAACTTATAATCCTAAAGAAGATAGGTTGCAATTACAGCTAGTTGAGTGCTTAAACAATAATGAAAAGAAAGACCTCTTTTAGCTCGAGATCGCAAATCAGATCGATCGTAACCGACTTACTGCTGTTCACTATATTAACTAATTGACTGTCATTCCCTGTTGGCTGGATCTAGTTATTTAAGTTAAATGCGAATTCGATTGAAACTCAGCACAGGATTGCAGTTCAACTGCCCATACATCCCCAACCTCACTTGGATTGACCTGTGAGCTCTTCCTTGTGGATTTTTTCTCTATAGAAGATGGAAAAACGATATTCTTCTTTCTTTTGAGACGCTCTCTGATCTGCAGATAGACGAACAACACGAAATACGGTTCTTAGCACAAGTACTCGGATATCCATCGAAACACTAAAACTTGATGATATGCAGTTAATAATCAGTTTGATGTTTTATCTTACCTGGGTGTTTCGCATGCAGTGAAGAGCGAAAATCAGGAAACCCTGCAGCATAAAAATGATTTCAAGATCATTAATCTTTACAGTATACAAACAAATTAGTCAAATATCTATTAAGATTTCCAAGAACGAGAGAAAATTGCATATCTTATAATTAAAAAAGAAGTCTGTCTTCTCTTGCATAGTTAGCGGCATTTTTGGTTTCAAAATTCCAATAAATATGATGTGACCATTGTAACGGTGTCTCACTTGGTTGTAAAGTAAAATAAGGATAGATATTGAATGATTTTTGACAATTACCATCGAACACTGACCTGAGCAGAGTTAAGTATGGTGAAGATGTAAACGAAAGCTTTATGTACAGGCGAGAGGAGACCGAATATCCACGTGATACCCAGCAGGGGAATCATCACCACGCATGATTTGATGCCAATTCTAAGAGTTAAAAAGAAAACATTCCTTTATTTTCCTTTGACGATGAATTTTCATTTTTAGATATCGTAAGGCCTTACTGATTAAACAATGAGGAGGTTAGGCAAATAGAGCCTCACGGGAGGACAAGGCAACCTCTTCCACTATATTGTTTTAGTTTTATGTTGTGAATGTTACCGTATTTGCTGAGAATGGTCGTCTTCCCCTATTGGCTGCAACAAATTGGTCATCTCCTTTATGACTCGTGCGAGTATCATGATGTTGAGCTGAAGAATACAATAGAAATAAATCGATTATTTAGATATGGTTATCGCATAGCTAAAGTAGGAGAGGATCCTTGCCAAAGACGTTACTAGTTTGGTAATAAGCGTGAGATGAAGAGTCATTTACAGGGAATAGAACTTCCAACCGAGGGACCTAGATTATCAGCTTCGATTCTCTGACAATGAGCTAAAGAAATCGCGAACTAAAGTGTCTGAACTGAGTGAAATATGCAAAGTGAATCCTTATGTTAAATTACATAAATTTGATATCTCCTACTCTTCCTGCTCCTTTCATCTTGATCAATGTTTTTTAAGAGTTATTTTTGCTCGAAAACATATCTTGGTATATCAATGCGAAACAGTGAGAAAACATCAACAAGGAAGGGCAAGGATCTTTTTTCTCATACTATGTAGTAAAAGTTGGAGAGTTTATGAAGCTATCTTTTGCTTGTCTCAACTGGTTTTTCTCGCTATTGAAGGCCATCACTAGGTTAAAATTGACCAGCATCCTCGTAAACAGCACCTATGTCCAAAGTTTGTTATGAGTAAATAGGAAAAGGAAAATGGTAAATATTGTGTGGGGTGATGTCATAAGTATTTAATTCGTTTTTTAAAGAGCAGAGAAAAAATGCCTAGCAGCAAGTAGTCCAGGTATACCAATCACAATCACCAACACAAATCATAAACTCACAACTTCAATGAAAGCCACGAAGGCGACGAATATCCAGATCAGGTTGTTAGTCGAGGAAAGCCAGCAACTAAACTCGAAGAAATGAGACACAAGAAAGACACAAATCCTCAGCAAATGAAATGATACCGATTTCAAACTATATGCAAAAACAAAACAAAGAATTAATTGCCACGAATTAAAGGAGAAGAGCAAGAACAAACCGTCGATTTTTTTCTTACTGTTTATCACTCGTATAGCTTTGTAACCCTTCTTTTCCAGCAGCGATGCCAAGTGAAATGGCCACCATGATCACTGGAAGACCTACCCATAAGGAAAGGAAGGAAATCGAACACTTTACTGCATGACAACACCAGATTTGGCGATCCGAAAGCATGGTTACAGTTACCAGTGCATGTTTTAAAATACAAAACTCACCCCATGAGATGACATGATACATGTACATCTTGGTGTTAATGTTGTAAACTTTCACAACGAAGAAGTAGAGATAAATTCCCTCGATCAGCATCCAACAGAAAGCGGCCATCAAGAAATACTGCATCAGAGCTGCTACTGTAACACAAGCAGCCTGTGAAAAGAAAAAGTTTTCGTATACTTCTTAACGTGCTCCTTTCGACAAGATATTTACGGTGCAAAGAGTAAACTCATTCTATAGACAGAAGGAGAGGCCACTGACTTTGTTTTCTGTGGCGTTTATTCCGGCGAGGAAGATGATCTGTCCAGCTCCAAGTGACACAGAAACACTCAGTCGAATTTGAGAGAGAGGTTGACAAACATCTCTGATGAAATAATCGTAAAAAAAAAAAGAAATAATGAATTATACAAAAGCAACAACGACAACAACATCAACACATTGAAGGCATGAGTTGGTCAAACGTGGGGGCATGTAGCTTGAGTTTGTGAATTATCCGACATAACTGTTCTTGTTTGCATGGAGATTGGCATTGAAATCTCTTTTCTTACCAGCCTTGTTGAGGAGAGTTAAGAATCTACCTCATTATTATTCAAGTACATCACTTACGTGAGGCAAGAATAAAGTATTAATGTTAAAAGTATCCCGACGATGGAAAGGCTCAGTCCCACGTAGGTGATAATTTTCAGAATTGTTTTGTCCTCCTCGGTGAGCTGTGTCCAAAAAAGAAAAATTAAACGACAACATCGAGTTAGTTAACTGAGCCCATAAAAATTACTAAGTAAGGCAAAAATAACTTTATTACCTTTGTGCTGCCGTCGTAGTCCATTAAGACGGCAAAATGCGTCAAATGATTGCAGCTGCAAACTGTTTCTTCTGAGTTGCTTTTTGATGCAACTATATGGCATCCTTTTTCTGCAAAGCTGTTAGACATGAAAAAAAAAGTAAAGTTAACAAAGAGTTTGGGGAAGAGGTGATGTTTGACAATTTTCCGCTAAGTTTTTCTTCCATTAGAATCATAGTTGCGAGAACATTTCAATCAGACTTCCCCTCTATAAAAACCACAACATGCTGTCTTACAGGAAAAGTGTTAATCTTCGCTATGAATACTATAAAACAATAAATGTAAAGGAATGAATACTAAACATTAATATATTTAAGTCTTTTTACCTTTTGCTGAGGCCACTCCAAAACATACAGCGCTTCTCCGCTGTCAAGACCTGAAAATGGATTTTATCTTGTCAGAACAAATTTAAAAAAATGCATAGCAACGAATGTTCATGTTACCTTTAGGTTTTTGAACTTTAGGATGACATTTTCTCGCAATGTCTCTGGCTTGGGGTCCATAGTTACGGCTATTATCCTGGAGTTGACATACCTATGAAGAAATTGTATTCGGATATGGATCAGAAACAAGGAAGAAAAATTACATACTTTTGGTAGATTCAAGCCAATTTTTCATGAAGGTGGAACGGCCAGAGACAAGCAGGGAGTCTTCCAACCTCAGTTAGGGTGTTTAGAAAGTTTCTAAATTCAGTTTAGCTGAACATAGATCTTATGTGTTTCCGTGTTATGTGTCTTTGGGGGTAAACGACATGGAGTAATATGAAAATAACGTCACCTTTGGTTGTCTGTTTCACTCCTGATGGCTTGATCTGTCAGAAGTAGGTCATGCAGATCCTTGTACACAAACACAACTAGCAATGTTCCTTAAAACCCCCAAGAATCAACAAAAAAAGTTATCAAACAACAACATTTGCAAAAAACCACAAAGTTGAAATTTTTACAGGCTCTGAGGTGTGTGAATGATTAAAAAGATAGACTATGTAAACTAAGGAAGCCCATTTACCTGAGGCTTTATTTCAATTCAGAAATTTCGATTGGAGAAAAACCAAAGTAATGCTAAAAGTTGTAAAGTTACCACAAACCATTTTCCTCAAAATTTGAAGAAGCGATATCGATTCTCGCTCGCCATTGTTGTTCCTCAAAGTAAACGCCACCTGCATTCTGGCGATAGGCTTTTTGAATGGCCAAAACTGTTGAAAAAAAATGACAAATGAAAGCACCTACGGTGAAATTCACAATAGCACATCTACACAAACATGCGTTTTGCGGTATACACAAATATTTAGTAATCTTATTGGATGGACGTGTATTTTTTGTATCTCATTTGCCCTTCAAGGACTATTGCTCGCACTAATCTGATCGCCACATAAGGGTATTTATTTCGCAGCAATCAGACTGTCGCTTTTTGAGTATGTATCTCACAATAATCAGATTGCCGCATTAGGGGATATATCTCGCACCAATTTCGTCATAGCATTTGGATATCTCACAGCGTTTGAGTATTGTTTTCTCGTAAATGATGTCATGGAATCGGGGGGCCGTGCATAAAGAATTACATAAACCAGAAATTTTGGACTCATTTGATAAGTGAAATGGTTTGTGGCCTTGGTAAGAGCCTCGTCGATTGAGGTCGAGATTTATCGGGATATGAAAGGTTTGTATTTAACTTGCTGCATCATTTTAAGTTTAAAGGTGTTTTACCTGCTCCTTTTCTCACAACACTCACGCCAAACAACTTACTTCCGTCGCGTATTACGTAAACAACAGTCAAACATTCCCAATCATTAGACTGCAGTTTTACAGGTGCTTGAATTGTTTTCCACCAATCAGATTCCATCACCAACGAGCTCCCTCTCTCTGACGAGGAATAGAGGGCGTTGTGTGGCGAGACCAAACAACAGTTGCGAAGGAGACAACGTTCAGCGGGGCACCGATGCATTTTACTTTTGCTTAGAGGGTTTTTAGACACTACCTGAATGAGTTCAGAGAAACTAGGTGTGGTTTTGCCTTTTGTAGTAAAATTATGTGGAATTACATTTTGCAGGCAACTAACTGGAAATAAGCAATGTTAATTTTCTCCCTGTCAAAGGTACTGCAGTAAGCGTAGTCTCTTTGGTCTCGTCACGCAACGCGCTCTCTCCCTAACGAGGAATAGAGTGCAATGTGTGACGAGACCAAGCAACAGCTGCGAAGGAGACAACAGTAGGCGTGACACCGATGCCTTTTATTTTTGCTTATGGGTTTTTAAACAATAGAGACAAAAGACCACAAAATACTTCTGTGAGCTCAGATAAATTAGTTTTTTTTTTTTCCTTAGGGCGAGGTAATGCGATATTTTCGTCACTTTAAAAGTTCTGCTCTTTCTCTGTTACAAAACTAATAGCGTTCGGAACACCGTGTTCCATCTCAACCCTCCCAGCCAAAATAGAAACTCTTGCATGCTACTCATATCTGTGTTTATCTTTTGGTAAACAGAATATCAATTAAATTCCAACTCAGTATTTACTATTTTTCAAACAAGAAAATGTATCTACACCCTCTGGTGACATATGAGAACTGAGGTAACCCTTGCTAACCTTGTTACAGAGTAATAGTTGCCAGGTCAATCGAAATGCTCGCAATATTCGAATTAGAAGCAGTATGGTCAGTTTATGTTTACTGCACATTTTGTATTGCATTGAAATTAGCCCCAACAACTTTACAGTTCAAACGGTCGGATATTAAAATATAATACAATTAACATCAAATTGATTCGCCTATGCGAAGAACAAACAAGTCTGCATGTCTTTTGTATTTATTTTATAAGACGATAATTGGCATGTATCTTAACTGACATGAGTCACTAGCTGAAGATAACGCACTTCACAACATCACGCGTTATTATCTAGCAAAGCAATTGGACTGATGATTTTTTGCGATTGGTATTCACCATCATTTCATTAAATCGAAAGGATAAATAAACCACATGAAAAGAACTGATGATTGAAAGTTTCATAGCTGTTGTTACTCGTAATAGCGATAGTAACTTTTCTTTGCTGGCAGGGTTAAAAGTTAGACATGTATATCGTGAAAACGTCTACTTAGATTAGTCTAAAATTAACCCGGACTGTCAGAGGATTTTATGTAAATTCTGTCGTGAGTATCACAAACGTTAGCAAAGAATGTTATTACTACGCTAAAGCGCTTGTGGTACCTTTCAGTTAAAAAAACAAACAAACAAACAAACGAAAAGACAAAAAAAAAAAAAACAAACAAAAACTTACCATTTGCAATCTCACAAATATAAGCGTTTCCCTGACGTAAACGAGTAACACTACCAAACACGCTTTGTTCGCCATTACTGTTGAGCTTGTACATGAAAGCCACCCCGTGTTCACCATTTGGCTCCCCTTTTCCCCATTTGCAAATAGTCAGCGGTCTTCCACTCATCCATGTCCAATTCCTGGCCCTTTTTTTTAAACCAATACTCCATCTATTGTCATAGTTCGCAGTATTTCGCCTTTGAATCTCGTTATTGATGAAATTCCATTCTTCTTCGGTTTCGATGGAAATTAGGTCCCCTCCTTGGCTTTGGCAGATGACTCTGTTCCCGTGCCAAGACCCTCCATATAGCGAAATGATGTACCAAGAGTTTTTAAAAATTATTTTTGGGCATTCTACAAAATGATGAAGATGACAACAAAAATAATAATTATCATAATGATGATAAACAAACTAATTATTATGATAATTATAAACGACTGTGAATATATAAAAGTCATATCTTTGAACTGCGGATAAAGACGTGAATATGAAAGCGATTGTCGCAGTAATGAACACTACTTAAGCAGTAGTGAAAATAGGGCCTGATCCTTGTTGTCGCTCTGTTACAAAAGAATTTGCTTATGCTTTTAGCTGTACGTCTATCGAATTATGGATGCACTTGGGAAGTTTGGAGAGCACTCACTCGTGCTCTCCAAACTTCTCGCGTGCATCCATAACTAGATATACGCACGCTAAGCATGAACAAATTCTTAACTTTATGGTTGGAATGTGATCTTACCTCCGGGCGTCTCGCAAATATAGGCATTTCTACTAAGCTTAGAGATACTATGAAAGAAGCCTCCATTCTTAGATATCTCCGCCCTTTTGTCGTTACCACCTGGCTCAGAATCTCGCCATTTCGAAATATTCAGTGTTTCTCCACTCAGCCAAGTCCAAACCTTGCCTTTCTTCTTTAAACCAATGTGCCACGCACTAGCATTCCAAGTACCACGCTTTTGAATCTCACGATTGATAAACTGCCATTCTTCTTCTGTTTCTATGGAGACTAAATAACCTTTCTGACCTCTGCGATACCGGTGCAGCGCTCTACCAACTGAGCTAACAGGCCAACTGGGAGCTGAATTTATTTTTTCAGGCCACATTTTCACTACTACTTGAGTAGTCTTCATAACTGTTCATTAACCGCAGTGCACATATATGATTTTCATACATTTACAGTATGGAATAATGCTGATGATGGACACGAAAAAGTGTTTTTTATACAATTAATTTTAATAGCAAACGATGGGCATCAAAATCCTCTACCTCACTGAAGCAAAAATTACAATTAGGCTACGTAACGTTTTAAAAGTGGAAATTGGGGAGATCAGGGTAATAGCACCGTTATTCATTGAATTTTTGTTTTGCTCTCCAACGTACGTTTTAAATCACAATCCGATGTAATTCTAACAGCAAGTCTATGGCTCATTATTGGCATAATCAGTCAGATATTATCTTTTTTTTACCGTTCATGTTAAGGTGCATAAATGTTAAAATTGAAATTACACTGCCTAACCTGTTCCTGGCAAATCCATCAACAAATGAAGGATGACTGTGGAAGAGAATAAGCAAATAAATTGATTGTTATCTCAAGAATAACATTTGAAACAATAAAAAAGGTTATTAGATTTCGAGTTAGACGATGCTAATGCATTTTATTTGCTTCATGCCCTTTGATATCTACCCACGAATTTCATAACCTTCCTAGGAAGCAGACAGAGAAATTTAAAAAAGTGTCGCATCTCCGCAATTTACCAACCAGCTGAACAAAACTTGTTACATGTGGAAAATATTTATAAGGATACGATAGACCTTCGCGAACGTCCTTCGCGAAATTCTCAAACGGGTTATTTCAAGTGCAACCAAATTATAAAATAATGAAAAGGATGTGAAATGCGCTATTCAGAAGAAAAATAGTGTTTCGTTTTAGCTTGCAACAATTCGAAACGGACGACGGCTGTTTCTTTAAGCGAAGGAATCGGGTTTCAAATCTGACCGCTCAAAAAGAACTTCTGTACAATTTGAATCTTGGTTGGTCTCCAAAATTTTTGAGGAAATTTCCATATTCTAGGGTGTTACAAAGCTATGGATCAGCAGGCCGCGGAACCTGTGGAACCCATATAATATATATATATATATATATATATATATATATATATATATATATATATATATTTGTGTGTGTGTGTAAAAGAAGAGCAAGTAGATAAGTATAAAGTTTGCTTTCAGCTACAAAGATGAATAATTTAAAACGGAAATATGTTGTAATTGTCCATAACATCCAACTTGGTGAGCATTTGGCAGTCACCTACCCTGAGTGTTAATAATTGAATAATAATTTGAAAGCTAAAACGGTTTGGGTTCCGCGATATTTGAATAACGCGAAGGCTCTCAGTAAACCTTTAGGTTGGAATTCATTGTACATGATCCTGGAATGAGGAACACGAGGCGTAAAGTAACATCATCGCCCGTGATGCTTGTATAATTTTGAGGTGATCCCTTAAACATGACTAACAAGAGGACTTTATTAAAAGCCAACGACAGAATTTTTTAATTAAGCTTAAATCAAAAAAGAGTCTCTACGTGGTTGTTAGGAGTTCCATTGCAGAATTTAAATACATAAAAATTGCTTAATTTTCAGGGTTGTTTTAATTATTTTACTGTGAGTGCACGTCACTTTAACCACCGACGGCTCGTTCAGAGCCATCGAAATTCATGATTACCAATGATGTTTTAACATAGGACGAGAAACGAAAAAGTACACCAATTCAACCATGTTTTTTTCCAAACCCCGGATCGAATTTTAAACTTTGCATCTGTGTAACTTAATATCATTTTAAGTACACCCTGATGATTAAGTTCGATCTCTTGTCTAAGCACGTCGAACGTTCAGCAGCTATCTGAAGAGGAAACGTGGTTCCCTTATGACATCTTGTCATAATGGCATAAAACGATGGCAATTAAGCTATCTTAAATGTGGCTGCCAAAGCTTTTGTGTAGACAACCATGACGCAAACAACATGACCACCGCGCCAATCTCTAGCTTGTGCTATTTGCTTTCTGATTACTTTGCTTTGTATTAAGGGCTTCAAGGAACCCAATTTATAAGAGATCCTTCTCTAATTAAAAAAAAAAATTCTGGTGGCGGTTATTTGGCACTCTCAATTAAAACAAAAAACACCAGATTCTAAAGATACCCGCATTTAATGCGGGCATCTTTAGAGTCCGGTGTGTTTTGTTTTAATCAAGAGTACCATATAACCGCCACCTGACATTTTTTTCTCGGATTGGTTTGGCTGAGTTTTACAGGAAGTTCCAAAATCGATAGAAATGTTTTGCAAATGGAAAGTCGAGATATAATTAAGGTGGTACTAACCTAGCGCACAACTATTAAAAAAATTTTGCACACTTTGTGGGACTCAATTGTACTCATCTCGCAACTCATCGAGCGCACGGTACTATTATCGGTTGCTGTCAATACCTGTCTTTACACTTGTACGAATGTGTCATTCCGGGTAATTCTTTTCTCAATTATTTGGCATTGTATGGAAAGTGAAAAATTTTGAGAAACTTATAATAAAGATAATGATGATAATACAAGGATCCCCAAGTTTTGCTTTAATGATTAATAAATAGTTTAGAAGGACTTGTGTAGAGTTTCGTATGTTTCGCTATTAAAGTTCCGTAGGAGTAAGAATCGAAATAAGCATTTCACAAATTGAAAGTCAATTTCGACGGTGTCATAGCTTACTTACCTAGCACACAGCATATTAAAAGGGTTTTGAAAATTTTGCCGTATTCAGCACCATTTACCATCCACTTCATCATGCCCAAGAAAATCAAAGGTTGTTGTTCAGAGTTATCGTTACGCTTATATTTCGTTCATCCCACAGGAGAGTTGCGGACTTGCGGCATCCCCATAAAACCCTTTTGCACGAGTTAGAGTTTAATGCAAATCATGATCTCTGATCACATGTTCATGGCGTAAGTCTCCATTTTCTTATTCTGTCATAGTCGGACCAATAGACAAAAAGCAGCTTCCACCAGGTGTGGAGCATTGTTTACTAATACAATCGAAAAACTTCAAGGCATTTAAATATTTTTTGTAGGTCAAGTTTTTTAAAGAAGTAGCTCAAAAATAATTGATGTTAAGAATGGTAAATTTCTTTATGAGCTCTGCTAAATGGAAGTTGTCTTAAACAACTTCTGTTTTATCAACCGGCAGCTAAAGCTAGTACGCCATCTGTTCGTATGCATAAATGGAAATGATTGCCATTTATTCATCTTCCTTATGACATACTTTTCAGTTGGTGGGTCTAATTACTTCGTATGCCTTCAACTTTGATGGAATAACTCGCTCGTGTGTCAATTAACGTACATTATTATTTTCATACCACGGCAAACTCTGAATCAAAGGATTTCTTCTTGGTTTTCGGTTTTCGGATTTCTTCTTAGTATCTCCACGCTCATGGAATAATTAATTATTTAGTCCAGAATATTCCCCAGTCCTAGCTGCGATGTATTTAGTTATTCGAAGCTTGGAGCGTTTTGACCTATCACATTTGAGTGGTGTAGAGAGAAATGTACTTATATATTTAGATTAAATTTTTTTTTTTACCTCTTTTGTCTTAATCGGACGTTTCTTCATCCATGTTTATTTATAAACGTGTATGACGTAACCTAGACTGTTGTAAACTGTGAGGCACATCTACGTAATCGACTCCTTCTCTTACTTGTTGGAATTCCTTTTCAATGCTACGTCTCCACAATAGCTATAATTGAAAACTGGGCCTATTGAAATATTCCGCATTTCTGTCGCTAAGCTTTTTCCTTTAAATTGTATACTCTATGTAAAAGTTCTTTAATCGTTGTTTAATTATGTGTGCCGAGTAGTTTATAATCTCTTAGTTTATGCCATTTCCGCCCAACATTGTCCCAATTTAATTCCAAGTTAGTCGATGTATTTTCGATTCAAAACGATACTCCTGTCTTAGAAATGCGAAAAAAAATGGGTAAATGCAACTGATCCACAAAAGATCCAGTCATAAGGGTTTTTTTTGTTCTTTCTAAATGAGCTGTTTATCTATTCAAACATTTACGTATTCATCTATTTGTTCATTAAACAACAACTTTGAATGTCAGCGCTACCTGCTAAGACTATTAGTATTACTTGTTATTGAAGAAATGTAAAATGGTTTCCGTGTTTACATAGCCTGATGTAAACACGCGGGAGGTTGGGAGAACACTCGATAAGCGTGGGAAACCACGACGCGAAGCGGAGTGGTTTCCAGCTTATCGAGTTTACATATCAGATTACTATTTGAATTATTTTATAAAATACGATTTCAACGACAGAAAGAGCAATATCTACAAACAAACCCAACTAATTTATTAAACAACTTGTCATATCCTTACCAAGGAGAGACTCTTAAAGGAAGTAGAATAATTATCCTTAAATAAACTGATTGAGGCCCACCACAAAATACTTCTTAGCTCACCACTGACACAATATCACAGTTGTCTCTAATCTAACTCGAGATTAACAATCTTCCATAGTAGCTCTCTCTCGGTATACTTTTTTGAAAAGCCTCACAGGAGAATATGGCAACCTCTTCCACTTTTTTGTTTTAGTTTTTTATTTTTTGAGAGTGGTCGTCTTCCCCTGTTGGCTGCGACAAATTGGTCATCTCCTTTATGACTCGAACGAGTATCAAGATGTTGAGCTGAAGAATGTAATAGAAATAAATTGATTATTTAGATATGGTTATCGAATGGCCAAAACAGGAGAGGATCCTTGCCAAAGACGTTACTAGTTTGGTAACAAGTGTTGGATGAAGAGTCATTTGCAGGGAATAGAACTCCAAACTGGGGGACCTAGATTATGAGCTTCGATTCTCTGACAATGAGCTAAAGAATCTCGAACTTAAGTGTCTAAACCGAGTGAACTATGCAAAGTGAATCCTCATGTTAAATTATATAAACATAATAAACCTGCTCCTTTCATCTTGCTCAATGTTTTTTTTAATTATTTTTGCGCGACAAAATATCAATGTGAAACAGTGAGAAAACATCAACAAAGAAGGAGAATATTTTTTTATACTATGTAGCAAAAGTTGGAGAATTTATGAAGCTATCCTATGCCTGTGAAGATATCAATAGGTAAAAATTGACCAGCATCCCCGCAAACAGCGGCTACGTCCAAAGTTTTTTGTGAGTAAATAGGAAAAGAAAAATGGTAAATGTTGTGCGGGGTCATTTCATAAATACTTAACTCGCTTTTAAAGAGCAGAGACAAAATATTTGGCAGCAATTAGTACAGGTATACCAATCACAATCACCAACACTAATCATAAACTCAATGAAAGCTACATAGGCGACGAATATCCAGATGAGGTTGTTAATCGAGGAAAGTCAGCAGCTAAACTCGAAGAAGTGAAAGAAAAGAAAGAAAGACAAATTTTCAGCAAATGAAATGATACCGATTTAAAAATATATACAAAAACAAAGCAAAGAATTAAATGCAACAAATTAAAAGGAGAAGAGCAAGAACAAACCCTTGAGTTTTTTTCCCCACTATTTATCACTCGTATAGCTTTGTAACCCTTCCTTTTTTTTCCAGTAGCGATGCCAAGTAAAATGGCCACCAAGATCACTGGAGGACCTACCCACAAAGAAAGGAGGGAAATCGAAACACTTCACTGCATGACAACACCATATTTGGCGATCCAAAAGCATGATTACAGTTTCCAGTGCAAATTGTGAAATAATAAACTTACCCCATGAGATGACGTGATACATGTACACTTTGGTGTTGATGTTGTAAACTTTCACAACGAAGAAGTAGAGATCAATTCCCTCAATCAGCATCCAATGGAAAGCGGCCATCAAGAAATATTGTATCAGAGCTGCTATTGTAACACAGGCAGCCTGTGGAAAGAAAGAGTTTTTGCATAATTCTTCATATGGGTGAGCATGTAAAAGGCATGTAAAAAATTTCATTCTTTCTAATGATTGTGTTTACAAACTTTTCATCTAGTCCTTGAAGCCTACGCGCGAAAAGTTTGGACTCTTGCATGCTCTCTGGAGCTTGGACACTGATCCGTTCATGAACGCGAATTTTAACTTCGGCTCCCCTGCAGAGCATTTTTAAAATGTCGTCTCTGTTAGCCTTGTGTCCAGACTTCCAACGGTGAAGCCGTACGACTACTTCTTCTCAGTGCAAACTGAGACTGCTTATCATTTTTCCTTAAATAATAGGCCTGCATACAGTGGCCCATGTATTTCAGCACCACGGTCTCCTTGGCTTTTCCAGTTTCGAGCAACAAGTTTTAAGTATTGAAATTTTTGGGTACAATTTTGCCGAGGAAAGAAATTTGTTTAGTTTCTTAGCTACTCTCTACAGGTTTATGAAAAGCAATCCTCAACATTAATATTGTGATATTATCATATCATTTTAAATTAATGTGTAATGATACTTTACCTAATGCAAGTGCACTCGCTATTTCTTTGTCTGTATTGATGTCCGCTAGAGACTTCGGAAACTTTCAGATCACACCCTTTTCAGGCTTTAAGATGTCAATCAGACTCGCCGAGCGGTGTACGAACACGACCGAATGCACGGGAAGAAACACTGATTGTATTGACGAGTGGCGTAACAGCAATCAATAGAGTTTCCCATAATGAGATAATGGACTACTAGAAAATAGAAAAAGTAAAAAAGTGAATAACGAACAACTTTTATGAATCAAAAAGAACAATTGATAATATTTAGATGTAACCAAGTATAAAAGCAGAGCTGCAGGGGGTTTATTACTGTACAGCCCTTTACCTCATTAAAACCAATCACTGGCTGTCAAAGAATTTATTCATGGAAAACTAGGAAGGAGCATTAATCATGTAGAGGGGGCATGGAGTCAAGGGCTTTTCAGAGGTTGGAGGGCAGCTTTCCTTTATTCATATAAGAAATGAGACGGTCATCTTCTTATGCAAGTTCCGTGGATAATGAGAGTGAATGATAATGACTGGCTAGATAATTGATGCAAATAGCAAGTAAAGGATTAAAAGCAGGACATTTTAAAATTATTGACGGAAAGCTTCCTCAGTGAACAAATCGATTGGATCAAAGTAGTTATGAAAGACCAAGTAAAAACTGGGAACATTGACAAAGCGATGTTGGAATTTTTCGGTCTGAAGCGAAGATAAAAAAAAAAAGAAAACTTCGTTGCCTCGATTCAAGCCTTCTGCGCGCTATTTATTTCTTATTTAGTGCATAGAGAGATAAATCTGTACTCGAGCCACGATGCCTATCCAGCAACAGCGTATTCTTGTTTCTGTAGCGTGAAGTGACGAGAAGTATTGCAATTCTCCCCTTGGCCGGAATGCTCGTCCGTGGCATGTTCCTCCCCTCCTCCCCCCACCCAACCCCTTGCTCAGCATTTCGTCAGGTTGTTCTGTCAGTTCGCCGGTACCCATTAAACTCCAAGATGAAGCGAGGCACCGTGAGGATAAAGAGTCTTGCACAAGAACAGAGCGCAATACGTGAGAAATTTTAGTGCGAACTCTGCAGTGGTAAATGGATGCCTCGTCTCTGTCTCAATATAATTTTTTGGATGGTTGGATCGAGAAGGTCCCATTTGTCTCACACAAAAGAGGATCAACTGGTAGCTGAATCAGTTTCATTCCGATTGTGCAGCTGGATTGAGCTCCAAATGGGAACTTATATAAATTTCTTTCTGGATTCCGTTCTCATAATAAGGCGAATTTTGGCGATTTCATATTTTTTATGTATTTTTTTTTTTACAGAAGACGGCTAAAAAATATACAAAGCTTTAAAACGCACGTGCTGAGCTCCTAGGCCATTAAATCTCTTGTTTTACCAAGTCGTCGCCGCAGTGGATTAGAGACCTTAAGCAAACCACGAC